ATACATTTTAACACACCCACTGACGTCAACAAAAATCGACGTGCATCTTGCTGATGATAAAATACAACAAGTTGTTAGTGTTGAAAGAAAAAAACATATCTGACACACCTTTTTGCAAACTATGTTAAGGAGAAATACAAAGCCAGACCTGATCATAGAGTATGTAAACTCTACGCTTCTGTAGCTCGGTGTGTTTTTTTAAATGGTAAGGCCTGGCTTATCTGGCATCCATGTCTACTATTCACGGGGAAACATTAATCATTCAAGTCGAGTACAGAATGAGTGATTCATCACCGAGTAGGAAAATATACGTCCTCCAAACCTGTATTGTCCTGCCACGTACAACAAGACAGAAGTGTGGAACTTCCGATTTTAAAGGCCATTCACTTGAAGTGTGTTTAAGAGGGCGATCGACCTAATGAAAAGGTATGGCTAATAGGGAAGGCAGGGACAGTAGGTGGATGAGTGCAAAGAGACGAAAGTGGATGAACAGGAAGTGGGATGCGAGGAGGAAGAGGACGCAGAGCTTGAGAGGAAGTCGATGATAAGGCAGGCAGAAGGGACCGGAGATGAGCGGATAAGGAGAGGAAGTATAGGATCTGAAGGGGAGTTAGAGAGGAAAGGTAAAAGAGTTGGAGGTAGTGTTCCCAAAGACAGTTAGAGGGGAAAATATAATGTAACATGCCAGAAACCAAAGAACAGAGAAAGGAGAGGAATACAAAGGAGAAAGGAAAGGAAAAGAAAACTGAGGAAAAACGAGACGAAAGTTAAGCATTCGGTTATTGAATAACTGAATTACGTATTTTTTTCCAACATTATCATCACTCACAGTATTGGAAAATAACAACTAAGAGTCACAGCGAAGTCTTATTTTGAAGCTATAGACCATTTAACATTTGTAAATGTGGGGAAAGAAGGGGGTCAGTGAGGCCTGTCCAACAAAAGCGCAAGTACATCAGAGCTGCATCATGGTTGAATGGACACAGGCCGCTGGTTTCCAGGCCACACTATTAGTTCTTGTTCCATCGGGAGGAGGAGGGGGTTGGGGCAACTGAAGGTGGGCCGGCTAAATGGGATTTTGGCAAGAACTATAGCCAGGTATAAAGCCAAGCCCTGTTTTAGAAAGGTGCGGAAACTGCTGGATCTAGAAACTGTTTTTGACTAAGGGTGGGTTTTGTGTTTATGGCTTAGTTAATGTTGAGATCAGGAGACAATTGACAAGAGCTGTAAATAACATATTGTTGTTCTTAATTAAAGTGTTGTTCCTCCTTAACTCTGGATTAGTGTTGGAAGTTGAAGCCAGGAGAGTGTGTGCTCCTCCAATGAGAAGTGTATGGAAAAACGTGTCAATGGAACACAAGGAGGCAGCCTGTGAATAAACAGAACCGGTGACTCACCCTTTCTGGGATGGGAAAGATGGGCGGGGGTGCGGGGTACCAAACTGCTTTCAATACCCCTCTAAACACACCAATGTAGGCATTCATGCGTACACACACAGTCCAACTCATGTGTCGTACTCGGTTAGCCAAACCAGGACAAGCTGTCCATTGTCCAAATGTCCCACCTAAAGCTGGAGCTCCTAGCAGGGCAGGAATTCTGTATTTAGGGGATTTAGGGGATTGCAGTGTGTGTGTGTATGTGTGTATGTGTGTATGTGTATGTGTATGTGTATGTGTGTGTGTGTGTGTGTGTGTGTGTGTGTGTGTGTGTGTGTGTGAGTTGTTATGCTTTAACAAGCATGGGAAAGATCTAAGTGTCTTTTTCTTTGTAGGAATCAGGGTGCTTTTCAGATTTCCCTTTTGTTTGATTTTCAAAGTAAAGTAAAAAGGTAAACTCAGGAAAAGGACAAGGACTAAACAAATAGCTCTGGAAACATTCACCTATTCCCTAAAGGCCATACTCAACAAAAACAACTCTGAATTGTAAACAGCAAGCAATATATTAGTTTTATTACAACAGCAAGACTGAAAAAACAGCCATTATTGTGTGAACACTTTTTCGACAAGTTTTAAACAAGACTTTGAAGTAACTCTGCATTTACTAACTGAAAATCCATTATATTATGATACTAATTATTATCGCACTAAATAAATCCAGGAGGTTCTAAGGACAGAGGGTGTCGTATTCATATTCTGTACAAACTGTAAAGTCCACTGAGACAAATGTAAAATGTGTGATATTGGGCTATATAAATAAACGTTGATTGATTGATTGAATCCTCATTGAAAGAATATTGATCTGCTTTGGACTTCATTACCATTAAGGAGCAATGGACACGTTTTGTTGGTTGAATCAAAGCTGTGTTTATAATCAATGGCAGGAGTACCTAATAAACTCCACACAGAGAGATTCAATGTAATCAGTGGTGCCATTATCTTACCATAGATAGACCTTACTCATCTCTAATAAACAAACCAGGTAGAGGCAAATAAAGCAAAGATTGACTTCACACTATCACAATTAGTACTTTAATACACCTGTTGGTTGTTATAAATAATAATCAACCTGTGTGCGTTGTGACAACTGTTTGTCCCTTAAAATTCTGAATCCTTTCATGATAGGAAAAATGTTCAAATATCAAATATTTTAGATGTCTAGTGCATCATTTCCAACAGTTCAGCCAAAAATATTTGGGATTTTTTTTAAATGTATGATAGTCTCTCAAATTTCAAATACAGTAGTGTGCGTTTGGTGAATGTGACAGCGTCCTGACTGTACAGCTGGACTGAAGATGGTGAAAAGGCAGAAGTATAAATATGACCAAACCATGAAAAAAGGCCTATTATCTTCTTTTGCTGAGAAGGGAGTCTTTTCTAAATGTGATGCTGTGGAGCAGGAACCACAAAATAGTATCCAACATATATATAGAAATCTGCAGAGGCATCAACATTCCTTTCTGTGTCTAAAAACACAGAAAGTCAAGGCTAGAAGGTTGTTACCGTGTTAGAACTGCTGTGGGATTATGGCAGTTATATTTGGCCATTATATTGTTTATTAATCACCATAAGTCTGGTCTTACTGCATGTCAGATTGACCCTTCTACTTCCTGCCTTGCATCGGAGTCTTTCCCTGACAAAAAAAAGAATATCCAGTATTTTATTAGCTTTCCAATTGTGTTTTGGTCCCATGTTACTCTAGTGTATTGCATAGAGGATTAGCGTTTTAAATGTCCCAACAACAACCTCTCTTACATCACACAGCAGAGTTTGGGTTTGTTTGAGTAAACAGAAAAAAGAGGATGAGAAGATGAAGCCACAAGTGAGCTGTACAGAGACATGCCGCTGCTGTTTACATTTTGAAGATGGTTCGCAACACCTTGTTTAACCATATCATATCATGTGTTTTTATTACATGTACAGCACTTTGGCTCGACTAAAAATCGCTTTTAAATGTGCTTTATAAATAAAACTTGATTTGATTTGATTTTGATATCATATGAAAACACAATTAGAAATCATGCCAGACTACAGCTACTGTTGTCATTCTAAGTGCAGTTATCCAGAATTGTATGCACAGTACAGCTGAACTACCTTAAACCAAGTACATGACAGCTAGAGAACCAATTATTTAGGAAGGGAAAACAAAGATTGTTGTGCACAGGAACAGATTAGCAGAGTGGGTCAGCTGTTTGGAGACAGCTAACAATATTTCCTAGAGGATTTGTAATTGTGGGCAGTTTTGCAAAGCTGCTCTTAGTAGGCTCTGGAAATCTGCTAATCTGAACACCTTTAAGCGTAATTGGAGGATCAAAATGCATGGCCTGCTCAAACAACTACAACAGCGTTACGTTATATCCTGCATGTGTTTTCTTCTATAGATAAATAAGGTGAAACTTTGCTGCTCTATATAGTTGAATGATTATGTCCTGTTGGTTCTCAAATACTGTGAAGACCATATTTTACACAACACTTGATGCTTCCTGTTGCAAAGAGGATGTCAGTACTTCTCCCCCCTCCCCAACTCTAGCATATGTTGGTTCTGAAGTTTTGTTTTGAATAAAGCAAAACATTACATCGTTAAGATATAAATGTAACAAAAGTAAAACATTGTAAGTGTAGAATACATATAAACATCCACAGAGTCACGTAAAACCAAGGCATTAAAAGAGTGCTTCCCAGAAGGACTGAAAAAAGGACCATAATTTAAATAGTTTGGAGAGCCTGAAAAAATAGTAAGGCCTGATTTATGGTCTTGTCCTCAGACGAGGTTATCAGTCCTTTGACATCTTTGGCAATACAAAGCTACAACTTAAAATTGATGTTCCTGACATCTGAGGAGATGTTAAGACCAGGACCATGTGATCAGGACCATCACAAAGAAAGGACTTAGGTCTTCTGACAGAGAAAAGCACATTTGGATTATATAAATATATATAAATGAAAGATCCCACTAGACCCGTGTTGGCTCATGACTGTTCAGTTAATGTCTTCACACTTCTCTGTTTGACTAATGGAAGGTTAATGTGCTCCTCAACACTTGGATACTGGCTTGCTTTAGTTCAGCTGCGTGTTGAGACATGCATTTAGGTAAAAGTGTTCAATGCAAGTGTTATGGACCTACGTTTCCTGTTTCATAAACAGCACATGAATGAACATCCAGATGAAACTTTCTCAAACACTGAGCCCATACAGCCCTCTGCCAGTGTGTGGGGCTGGTGGGGGCATAACAAAGCCTAATTGAAGGCAAAGTTATTTTTCCAACTGAGTGAGGGAAAAATTCTAATTGCTGTAATTAGGGCGGAGCAGAACTGTGACATTCTGTCAATGTCTGGCACCGCTTTCTGCTCGAACACTTTGTTTGCTGGCATTTTCAACCCCTTTATTTACCTATGAGAACAACATTATTTTTGGAGAATGGGACACAGAAACAGAGATTGAAAGAGAAAGAAAGAACCTAAACTGGTCATCTGACAAACATGCTGTGTGTATTATGACAGCTTTCAAAAATAAACAGCTTTCCACCTGGAGAAGCATTAACCCCCACATGTACACTTGTCCTACCTTGGTGTCAACAATGGAGCAGGCAATCTGTTTCACATAGGCCAGGTCAGAGCTATGGGGCATCAGGACAGATTCTCTGGTCAGGCCGATCTGGATGATGAAGGAGACCCCTGCAAGAGTGGGAGGAAGAGGGGGTATCACAGCCCCCCCAGGAATCTGCACTGTTGTCAGGTCCATCATAGGAAACCCCCCCTGAACGGGCAAAGAGGGCATGGATATGGGGGTCCCTGGCTGCATCAACGCAGACCCTGGAGGTGAGGAGCCCCCAGGAGGAAAGAAGACCTGGGCCATGGCCCCGGAGGACATACAAGGGCTAGCGTTAGCCATCCTGTGTCAATGCCTGAAGCGCTCTACATACAAACACACGCCCAGGTACAGTGTACAGTTCCCAGGAAACTCTCACTCATTTGAAACTGTCTCCGTGGATGAGAGGGGTGCACACGCTGACACATGGACACACACACACATACACATGCACATACACACACACACACACACACACATACACAGAGCAGAGTCCCGGTTCCTCTGCGTCCTGTGTCCGCTCCCTTCTAGTGGATCAAGGAGGAAACCCTTATCCAGGAAGTTGTTTTTTTTCCTTTCTGACACTTCTTCCGAGCGCTCTTGTTATACAACTCCTGTTATAGTCCTTGCATGACAGGCATGAGCAGTGTGTGTGAGGGTCTCATCCACCGTCTTCCCTCCTTCACCTCTCACTCGTCCAAAGTAGCTGCTCTGCAGGGGAGAAAGTCCAAACTTGATTGTGAAACTCCCGGGTGTGGGAGAGAAGAGAAACAAAAATAATGCCAAACTTTGTTGTGCCTTTCCTTCAGGCTGAGTTACAAAATGGCCTCCTTAAACAGGAAACTGTGAGAATGAAGGAGAGCAAGAGACTGCACTCCTTTTACGAGTCTTGCCCTGTTTCAGTTTCAGCCCCAGTTCAGTCTTTTTGGTGAAAAAGCACACAGAGAATGAGCCGCGTGAGGGTACCTCCCACTCCCCCTCCCTCCTGTTCTCTCATCTGTGATCTTGCCAAAGCCAGGGAGGAAGTGAAATGACTGACACAGCCTGAAGCCAATGGCCAGCCAGAAAGTCCCGCCCTTTGACTCCTGGTTTCTCCCGCCTCCCTTTTCCTCTTTCTCTCTTTCCCCTTCCTTGCTTTGGGGTAATGTGTGTCTTGTTTGCTCCCTCCCTGAGTGTAGGCCAGCAAAGAGCCTGAGGGGCAGCTCGAAACTCGCAAACCCTCCCACTTCTTCCTCATCTTCTTTTTACTGCATAAGCCTCTTTCTATCCCTCTGTAAAACTCAATTTCCAGCCTTATTTAGGCTTTGTAACACATGTTTTTCTTTGCATATTTTAGCGACACACCTATGCAGAATGAGACCACACCTACTTACTTAATTCTGAAGTTGTTTTCATGCAAGTTGACTGCAAGTTTCAGTAAAATGGGGAACTTATCTGGTACTTAGCTCACACCAGGATATGTTATACTGGGTTAATTCAATCATCACCATGACTGTGCGCACCACTCATCTATATATTACATTAAAAGCATGCAGATTAATAATAACTTGGTGGCAAACCTTCTCACCATTTCCATTTCATTAACACTGATGAACCACATGCAACTGCACCCTTCGGAGTTTGACGGGAAAACTCAATAACTTTACAGCTGCAAATGTTTGCTAGGATGCTACTATCCACCACAAGAGGGCACTGTTTACTATAGATGGAAATTGAATTAATTATCCTCAATAGAAATGTATCCTTAGTGCTGCTTTGTTTATTTTTTACTCGGTGTTTGGTCTCATTTAAAAAATGTATATAGGTAAGGAGAAGGGATAAGAGAGCATATTCCATTAGGGGGGACTACAGCACCATTTTCCTAGTAGCCTATGTATTACTTTTGTATGTGTTTCAAATGAAAGATAAAGAAGTTCTTCAAATATATTTAAACCTATTTGTTGCATTATAAACATTTCATGTAGTGGAGAAAAAGCTCAACAGGGGTTGATTATTCATTCTTGGTTCTCAGTAGCTGATACAGCACCTGTGGCAAGAAGTGGAAAAGCAGGGATGGACTCTTTAAAAACCAGGCCACTGTCAACGAGCATTCTTTCCAGTAATTTCATTTACCAAATGTGATCCTGGATGGTTGCTTTTAAAAAGGGGAACATCCATTTTACAAATCAAGTTAAAGATACTCAGCCTTTGAAAACAGCAGTAGGATGTTCACTGGGCATTCTTGACTTTGGAAATGACAAAAAGTCTAAAGACAAATAGTTGCATATTAATAGACTTGGGAGTTAGTGTATGTTATAAAAGTTTTAACATGGCAACTGAACTTTATGAAATGGAGAAGACCATACAAAAAAAAAGATGTGTATATGTTTGATTATGTAGGTGTTTTTAGATATGTATGTGTAAGCGATACTTTCATGTGTCTAGTTCTTTTGAAAGTCTCATAAGCTAACTAGAAGGGAAGAAAGACAACACAAACACAACTCTCAGTTCACTGTACAAAAACTTCATTTTTTGCTTTTTTCTTCCTTAATGACATACAACAGGGGACCCGTAAACAAAAAGAGAAAGTCATTTGATACAAGCTAGAATGCAGTTCAAAAATATATAATAAAACAAAATTAATAAAAAGCAGGTCTCTTATCCCTTGTAGTTAGAGGAAATAGTTTGAATACAGCTTAATATGATGTACAAAATATCACACAGTGATAAATTGCTAATAAAAAAATAAAAACACAAAGAAAAGAGAGTCCTTTACCTTGGCCTCTGACTGGTAACAGATTTTTTTTTTAAACTTATTTTCTGAATTTTTCATGTTTTTTTAATCATTTTGCTTTTTTACAAGTTATACATTGTTATTATCAATCACAAGCAAGTTCTATGCCTAGCCAGGAAGAATGATTAACTTATGATACTACAGTATTCTTACATCTTAATAATCATATTCATAATCAAGGAAAAGAAATGCAAGAAAAAAAACAAGGAAATGATGGACATTTACAGCACATAATGGCATCTCTAGTCATCATTTACAACTTCTGTTTCAATTTCTTTTTTGATGTGTCATACTGATTTGTCTTTATTCTGAGAAAGGGGCCATCAGTTACTCTCACTATCCAATAACTGTGAGCCACAGCGGGTTCAACCATTGTAGTATTTACTCCTTAATGTAAAGTAATTGCCTGTAAAACATTATTTTATGCACCCTGTCTGTTACCACTCTTCAACAGAAGCATCCATACTTAGATGTAGTGCAAAGTGGAGCCAAAAAGTAGTTTAATGTGATAATAGGACGTTATTTCCAGCAGCAGTACTATAATATAGTCGAACCAAGATCTTGAACAGCACACTCTACCACGCTGTTTTAGGAAAACAAATCAGAACTATGAATGCTCTTGTCCAAAGTGATTAGGAACAGAGTGTTTACCTCTAGGCAACATTGAACCCTTGGGTCTGAACTCTGACCCGTAGTGTGACCCTGTAGTCTTAAAAATGTGGAGGATGCCCCTTAACCAACTGATTGAACATCTAATTGTATTTTTCCTCTAAAGACAATAAGATAAAATGACTCAAGTAATTTGAAGTCAGGTCAGCTCATAAAGGGCAACTCTTACCTAAAGCAAACCAAGTTTCCTGCAGTTATCAGAAATAACTACAGGACACAGACAGAGATAGACGAGGGGTGTCTCAAAGGAACTTTTTTTCCACCTAAATCAAATGTTCTCTGAGTTTTGTTCAACATCAGCAGCAACAGTAACACATCGGCGAGACTGATTTTGAACCTAGTCATGTTACTTATATAAACTGACACCCACACATCGTAAAAATCAATTCTCTCATCTTTTTTCTCTTTTAAAAAAAAAGGGACCTTTTCTTTCTCCTCCTGAGGCTATTTCTCCCAGCATGCCTCTTCTGAAAGAGACCAGCTTCACATCATTAGCTCTCATGGGAAATGTGCTACTGTGCAACTGATGCACGTCAAATCAACACGAGGGATCCTCACCTCAACACACAAGTGAAGGTAATGTCAAACTTTCTTTTTTTAAAAGCCTGATTAAATTACAGCACGCCAGAAACAAGCACTGCCTACATACTGGCACCCACTTCAGGATGAAATGAAAAAGACGATCTGAAGAGCTCTCATCTGAGGAATCATTTTCCTTAATGCAACTATCATCAGCTCTCCTCAAACCTGAAACGATCACTGCCAACCTTACTCGCAAACCTTCAATGAGAGAAATTAACACTGAACTTCAATTCTGAAATCAGACCACAAGTATTGAAATGATTTAACAATGAAATGTCATTTAAAAAGCATATTCACTCTTTAGCCCGTTGAGTGAGAAACACAGTCTCTCTTTCTCACATGTACACACAAAGTAGGTCCCTGATTCTGACTCAAGACTGACAAGGTCTTTCATAGCACCGTGATTTAACTAGTGCATATTCAAACACGCACACTCTTACAGTGTTCAGTGGAAAGCACCAAATGACACAAACGGCGTCATTTGTTGAGACAGACTGGCCTCACTACCCCTGTATCTCTGCGGACACGAACTGTACTTGTATGATATCCATCTGTAGCTAGTAAATGTGGTGTGAGAGCATCGGTCTGCAGAGTTCACACTGACCATCTGTAGAAATGTACCATGATTGTGGAGTTACGTTCATTAATCTTGTACAGCAGAGTGTCATTTTATCACACACACACACACACACAAAAACACACACACACACACACATAATTAGAGGCTGAATCATGGGGATGCTATAATACTCGGACATACAATGAGACTTGGCCATAAAGCTGAAATTAAAGCTATTTGTTCAACACTGGTTAGCAACTGTCTAATGTTTGTGTCACATCATAGACAACTTTAACATTCTCCAACCCCGAAAATTGCCACCACACACGCTCTACCTGGAGTCTTTGGAATGTAATACATTGAATCCCAATGTAGATGTTGGGCAAGTGTTTTCCGCCCACACTGGGAAACTTAACTGTTATTAGTCATGCCTACATATGTATGCTAGCCACAAGCAATTTGTTAAAAAAAGATCTCAAATGAAATGTTGAGGTGCATTTGTGCATCGTGTGCGATGTGCAGTGCAAGCTGTGGTTTCTCTGTGAAATGTGAGTAGTGTGTCGGCAGGTTGAATGAAATAAAATCAAAAGAACAGAATATTGTAGTGTAGAAAAAGTGTTTCTCCAAAGATTATTATTTGAAAACAGAGCGATTGGGATTTTATAAAAAAAGCAGTGTGATTGGTATAACAAGAAGTCACTGAGGCATCAGAGAATAGTGAGGAATTGAAGGGAGGTGACGTCCTGTGGCGATGACCCAACCAGTGGGGTGCAGGAAAAGTGTGTGTTGGGTGTTATGTGTGTGTGTGTCTGTGTAAGCAGTTGAAATGTGTTCTGTCGTCTTCAGTCTCTTTTCGCCCAGTTGTCTATGTAGGACTCTAAAAATGCAGAAACGAACAAAGTTAGGCCGACAGCCGTTCACAACTCCTCATGACATATCATGAAAGGCAGAAGACATTAGGCTCAAAACATTTATCAATTGGTCATTTAGAGTTGTAAAAATCAAACCATTAAGAAGTCACACCACATCAATAAAGTTAGGGGAAAAGTAATAATTTCACAACTATAGGTTGGAAAATGGAAGCCACAGATCATTAAAATAAATAACCAGATTAGAATTTTGTGAAGTTCAGTTTTTTGTATATAGCCTTAACGGGGGAATGGGAAATGTGTTGAGGTCCACTGCAGATTTACTTAGAACAGTAGGCTATACATGCAATTTTAGACCTAAAGAAAATACAATTCCCAAAATGCAAATCAATAGCTTTTCAATAAACCCCCAACTGGCTGTTAAATATGCTTCTATCAAACTCCACACCACCAGTGTGTAATACGGGCTTCCTGTTAAAGACTTGAAGAAAAATGAACCCCCTATCTCACCAGAATGACAGCAGAATGCTTTCAGACAAAGATCTTGGCAAGTGCATCTGCGCCGGCGCTGGCGATAAAGGGCTGTGAAGAGTGGAAGGCTACGTCATGGATGGCCTCGTCGTGCTTCTTCCTGTGAGCCGTGATCTCCTGCACGCACGTCCTGTTGTCCAGCATCCACAGGCGCACCGAGCAGTCGTGGCCTGCAGGGGGCAGAGGAAAGGGGGAAGCAGAGGAAACAGCTTATTAGGTGCAAAGATCCCTGAGGAATGCAAGGTGCAGGATCCCCTTATATTGTCTTACAAGGTAGACTTAGTGTTTCTTCTTCAATGCATTACATTGTCATTTTAACCGAGATCGCAGATTGTACTGAGGCCTTCTGATTATTTGTGTTTTATCTAAAACATGTATTGTGTTATACAGGTATAGGTGGGGTATAAATAACCTTTTTTAAATCATTTTTTTGAACATTGAAATCTCTCGGTTTACAATGATGTTTGATTGTGAATAAAGTGTGTAGAGGAGAAGAGGGTATTTTTTTTTTTTAAATGAAATAAATTGTAAAGGTTGACTTTACTGTAGAGGAAGCCTGATTCTAAGGTGTAGGCAGCTAAATAAGTACTCACTGCCGGAGATGAGGTAAGTGCCGTTAGGGTCTGTAGTGAGACAGGTGACGGCATCCAGGTGAGCCACCATTGAGTGGACAACTTTACCTGTACAGACACACAAAGCAAGCTCATTTAGACCCATTCACATACTAGAAATAAAAAGAGAGGCGAAAGAAGGAATCAACTGACGAGTCTACAGATAAAAGACCTGCAGATACCTGTCTTGTTGTCCATGAAACGGATGGTGCGGTTCTCATGGGCAGTGATGGAGACGGGCTCAGATGGGTGACTGACAACACGGTTGATCAGCTCACTGCCTGCGAAGGGAGAAAAACCACTCGATTGTTGTTTTATCTGCTTTATTTTTTATCTGCTTTATTTAACTATTTATTTTTTAACGTATCTCAACAGTGACCAATATTACGCTAGAACAAATAGGGTCCTGAACATACCATCCTTGGTCTGTGTCTCTAGCGCAATGATGCTTTGCTCCGCGTTGAGGTCATAGAGCAGTGTCTCTCCAGCGTCGAATGACACCACCACCTGGTTGGGGTCAGTGGCCACAAATGCTACTGATGTGGGTGTGCCGTGCTCTAGGAGAAGACAGGAGGAGGTTCAAGTTGTGAGTCATGGACGCAATGCAAAGCTCAAAAGCATGTCTACACACTCCACATAAATGTCTACCTCTTTCTTTATTGAAGACAGACAGACAGGGAGCCGAGTTCTGAGGGTCCCAGATGCGAATGGTGCCATCGGCTGAGCATGAGGCAAGACGATGGTGAACTGCTGAGAATGTTAGACCCCACACGCTGTCCTCGTGACCGGCTAGTACACTGCTCTCGATGCCCGGATCTGGATAAACAAACACACGTTAAAAAAGGGAAAATCTAAAATTTGAATATTCTTATCCATCTGCAGTTGAGAATGGCTGACCGTAGTTATCATAAGGATCCACATTGAGGTCGGGCATCTTCCAACATCTGACAGCTCCATCTAGACCCCCGCTGTAGCAGGATTCTCCGTCCTCGCCCATGGAGAGCGACAGAGCAGCTCCGCTGGACAGAAAGAGAGAGAGAGAGAGAGTGTTTGCACTGCATCTGGGTGCGTCAGTGACACAGTGGGCGACTGTGGCTACGAGGGACGGTGTGTGAATGTGTATGAATGTTAGTTCCTAGAGCATGGTACACTGCTCTATATGAATGGGTGTGAAAGGGTGAATGACTAGTATGTAAAGCGCTTTGAGGGGTCGTAAAGACTGGATAAAGCGCTATATAAGTACAGTCCATTTACCATTTACAACATTTTAATTTGTATTTGTACTCACCTGTGTGCTCTAAATGTGTAGATGGGCTCAACATCCAATGCTGCGTTCCTGTGAAGGGACAGTCTTTTAAATTTCATTCTTAGTTTAATTTCTTTGCTATGTTTGATTTTACGATTGCACGTTATTATTCCTACTCTAAAAATAAAGGGGTAGGGTTTTTACTTTTTAGAGTGCATGGACTTGTTGAGGTTCCACAGTTTTAGTGTTCCATCCTCGGAGGCTGTGAGCAGCACTGCTTGGCTGGGGTGAAAGGTCAAAGCTCGGATGGCATCGAAGTGGCTGCGTAGTGTGAAACGAGGGTTCCATGTCTTCTTAAACTCGTCTCTGTTATCCTGCATCTGACGGGACACACGTTCAAAAAGAGTCACATATTCTGAGTGTGCACATGTATGTTGGATTACATCCCATGTATTGACCAGTAGATATATGTAATTACATCCATGGAGAGATCGTTGTCATTGGCAACGGTGAGATCAGCCAGTTCACCCAGGTTCATGTCCCCTCCCCCGACGGCATCCATAATGAAGACGTCAGAGGAAAAACCCAGGGCTCCACCTGCAGGTTTGGGGGTGGAAGTTCACAAAAGTTACCCTAAAAACGTCACGGCCTGATAAAGACAGGCTTAGGAAAAGAGAATGGAAAATATAGCAATAAATCTCCCAGGCAAGAGTCCAGTCATCTTGTTTTCTTTACTCCCACATAATGTACCAGCGGATTTATTTATAGGTGTTGGAGCAGTTTTGTAAGTCTACCCCACGCAGGTTTTAAAATGGAACAAGACAGCATCTAAATTTGTTGTCTGGCGTTTAAGCTACAATCATGCGTGTACGGCAGTAGAGGAAAGTCTAAGGTCTTTGATGGGGCATAATGGTGGGAGGGGTCTTACCTTCCCCGGAGCGAGCTTGTCCCGAAACGGAGGGGGGCGGGGTGGGTTTAGGGGGGAAGTCCGACATCATGCCTTGTAACTTGTTCCTGCGGTTCTCTGAACCCGGCAAGAGGAGAGAGACACAAAACATCCAGTCATGCAGATGGGCGGAGGAAGGATGGAGAGGCCAGCAGACGGACAGATAAGAGACAGACGGATGTAGACAGAGGGCAAAAAAATAGACTTCATTCTTTAAATGCAAAACAAACACCCATACAATTTGAATGACTCTTCAATAATAATGCCTTTAAAAAGAGCACAGGGTCACAGCGTAAATATGACTCAAATAATGAAATGTGCGCGTAGAAAAAAGGGCAGCATGCGTGATAACCTTTGAAATGACCCCACCCTGCACCACACAAAATACATCTACGGACAAAGGTGGCGGCTACACAACTCTAAAGAGTCACAGACTGACAAGCTCGTGAAACAGGACAGAGAGACAGGTGGTTGGGAAAAGAGGTCGGTTTTATTGACAAGAAGAGATGCCAGGACACAATGAGAAGTAAAAGATAAAAAAAGTGAGCAGGGAGGGGGAGGGGTGGGGCGCAAAAAAGACAGATACACTGGTGGCAGTGATTCTGGCAGTGCTGATGATGTTGCTATGGCAACAGCGTACCTAGCTCCCGTCCGTCCCCCGAGATCCGGGCCTCTCCCGCCCCCTCCCCATCCTCCCCCGAGCCCAGGAAGTCAAATTCACTGAGGGCGTCTTCCGAGTCGTCTTCGTCCTCCTCATCCTCCGGGTCCAGGTCCGTGGTCATGGGCTCCGACTGGACATGAGAAGAGAGAGCAGAGCGTTCATAATGTGACGAGTCATGAATAAAGTTTGCGTTAAGACATTCAGGTGTTCCTCGTCTTCCCAACTTCATTTCTAAATCTCACATCTTACCTTTACACGGGACTTTTTGTTCTTGCGCGGTCCATCAATGCAGTCAGTGGCCATGCCTTGAAAGTCATCTTCCTCGTCACTGTCGTCTTCATCGTCGTCCTCGCAGCCATGCAGGAAGGGGATTTTATCGAGCACCGAGCTGCCCAGATGTTCCTTAGAGTTTTCCTTGCCCGCGTTCCTACAAATGCAAACAAACTTTTTCAGTCAAAAAGGACAAAAAGATAATGCAGGACAATACAGGTTGACCTCAATTATACTTATTTATATATAATACCATATTATAAGAAGTTTGGCCACAGCAGTCTTCATTACAGTTTAGCTTTTTAATAAATATTATTATTGTAGAAAAGTTTTATGGATACACGTGCTTTTTCATTTACTTTTCTACTTGTAAATAATACTTTTTTGAATAGATTCCTGCTAACTTTTTCTTATAATCTTACCATGTTGTCATGGTGGAGGATGCCCTCCGTTTTAGACATCCTTTCTGCGTCTTGTTCTGTTGGCTTTTGAGATCAGGATGTGCTTTTTGTTTCACTGTCTTCACATTTCTGCTACAGATAAATGCTACTCACAGAGCTGCCTCAAGATACAATGATGACTCATGTTCTGTCTCACCTGCAGTAAGTAAGTTCTCCTACCGATAATAACCTAACTGCACTTTAGCCTACTGTTGGTTTTCTGTCTGCTAGACCATTTTCTAGTTTCTGGCATAGCACTGTTTATAGCGATTTTGCACAAACTAATACATAGATTTTTCTAATGGGTCTTAGTCAGATGATCTTAAGAGGAGCGGTGTGTGCACTGCCAAAAAAGCATACCATAATATCTCAAGGTCTGTGCATAGACGATCATATCAAGATGAGTAAATTAGGATGTCAGTATTTGCATTGGTTTGATAAGGTAGAAAAATGTTTGCAGTTTTATACCAGATAAGATGAATATATTATCTTTAATTCACATGATGTATCATGATTTAGGCCTTGTGTAGCAAACTGTGGTTTTTTGCATTTTTCTGATAAAAATGGAACACTTATTTAATAATAATAATCATACATGTTATTTATATAGCGCTTTTCCTGGAGCTCAAAGCGCTTTATAAGCAAGTAAAAAAAAATGATGCAGGGTTCTCACCTCTTGATTTGTTCCTCTATCTGTCTGACCAACAGCGACTCCCCCCCCGCCCGGGGCTCGGGCTCAGGTGAGCTTTCAATGGGGGCAGGCCCGTTAGCCTCGGGGCTGCTCCGCCCGAGCAGCGAGCGCACACGCTTAGACCGCATGTCCAGAATGGTGTCTGAATAACCCACCTCCTCAAGATATCTATATTCACAGGAAAACCACATATGAATATATATATATAAACACATTCATAGGATCTAGTCATTGGAGTGTAGATCACAAATGTAACACTTATGATAAAGTACTAATGAAACATATTAGTATATTACTGAGATCAAAAGGAGCTGATGACAGCGAGGCCTTACTTGCGTAGTAGCTGACGTCCCTCCTTCCAGGACATCTGATTGGCTGGCTCAGAGTCTGACTCAGCCGGCCCATTGGGAACTACAGAAAGGATTGGTCAATAGTGATGCAACAGCAATGAGCAGAACATTTGAAAAGCAGCACCGTTGAGTGTCTTCTGAAAGTAAAGCCAAAGTAACAGATAATGTAATCACTTACGTTGGTCTGCCTCTGTCTCTGGTTTCTTGTCTCCGGGACTCTGGTCGTTTCCCGTCTTAAGCTTCTGGTGTTTAGCCCTGCAACCCCACAAAATACCACATGAGGGCAGTACGACAAGCAAATATAGGAAATCCTTTAATGATCAAATGACAGACAGCTGTCTGAGTGGATAACAGACATGAGGGACAGAAAGAAGGAGTTTGCTGCCATTTGTCTGACCTCTCTTGTTTCAGGGCGTACTCCAGCATTTTGATCCGCCTCACCAGGTCCTGTTTCATGTTCTCCTGCCCCTTCCTCTCACCCTGAAGGAACGCCACCTGAGCCTGAAACACATATACAGGATGGTAAGGGACACAAAGTACCTTTAGAAAAGGCACACACATACAGTATAGCAACATCATTAAATACATTTCAATTGACACTGTAACTGCATCAATATGTATCTTAATTTAAGATAGACGCTTTTAGATCAACAAAGATCACAAGCAGAGTCCTTGAATGGGAAGAAAAAAGTTTGATGTGACAAGCATAGCAAACATGACTTCTGAGAACCCAGAGGAATAAGTAGAGGGTTGTAGAACAGGGCTCTTATTTTTAACTTCTCCTAACCAAGGCCTCAGTGCGCATCTGCAGAAGAAGAAAAACAAGACACACACTGGCCAAATTCAAAACCCTCTTTTAAAACACATCCTTCCTTTGTGTGCTTCCCCTCTCATTTTCCTTCCGCTTCCTTCCTCACTGAGCCGATAAAAGGCTTACCTCAAGGAATGAAAATATTCACTGCCCATTCTTGCCATATGGCAAACAATTAAAGTGTTTGTGAAAAGAAGAAAAATGTGATAATGAAAGAATTAAGGGTGATAACACTGTCAAGATTTGACGAGGGTTTTGTTTAGACAGGATCTTCCTCTTGGTATTGCATCATAATGCAAGACTTGACAAAGGTGTGAAAGGGATCCTGGAGCGGATGAGAAAGTTTGATAACACATTTTAAAACATGCTGTGTTTAGCAGCAGGTGATGATTTACAGTGGGCAGTTTCTGGCCTCTGTTGGAATAGAAAAATGTGAAGAAAAAACAACATACTGTAGATCCTAGTTAGAAATAGGGTAGTAATGCCACTGCAAGATAACACAGTATGACAATTGAATCAAAATGTGTAAATCCGCTTTTAAAGTGTATCGAAAAAACTCAAATGAGTGTATGTGTGAGTGCGCACGTTCAATTTTACAGACAGGAGCACATTATTTTAAAGCTCTTAATAATAACAACCCAATTCAACATACCATAGTGCTGCTAACATCTATTCTAAACTAATGTGTTTTAGTTACATGACTATTTATGTATTAATTATAGTCACTTGCTATCTTTTATCAGATTTGAAATTCAGTTTATTAATATGATTCAGGTTTCATCCCTTTAAGGGTCATAATAGTAATAATAATACAAAGAAATAGAAAAACGACTATATACTGTACAACTATATACTATAAAAATGTCATACCGTTACAACCCTAGTCAGAAGTAGGTTAAAAGGCCTGTTTCTACTCTCAGGATTTGCATACAGGTGATTGTAGGGACAATTGTTTTGCATTGTCTCCATCTCCCAGTCTTTTTCTTTCTCTCTCTGTGGTGCTGGAGCATTAATACCCGTTGTTTTACAGTCCATCTCTCCTCTGCATGTCTCTGTCTGTGTCCACGAGTCTGCTCCCACGCGCATACACAGTTCGGTATAACTAGAACAGTCTAAAAACACTATCTCATGGGGCAGGCACTCGGTCTACTTGAGAGGGTAGTCAATCACCCAGGAAAGAGCACACACACACAGACACACACACACACACACAGTAATGTAACTGGCTGGGAGGGCGAGTGTAACACATAATAATCTGCCAAGCAAACCTTACTGCTGCTGCTGCTGCTGCTGCTGCTGAGTAATCCTGATTAATGCGATGTGATTTTACATGCTTAGCTGAGAATTTTGGATAATTGTCAAAGCTAGCATGTCAATAGTGCAGGCCAGATCTAAGAGGGTGTGAAATACAGATAACGACAATGTTTTGTTGGAAAAAAGCAATCAGAGAAGAGACTGAAAACAGCATTTACTGGCATTTTTGTATTAAATGACTTTAACCATTAACCATTATTTCTCTGTCGGTCTACTAATTAAATAGACTTCTAATCAGTGCATCTATAGTAAACGCTAACATGCTATCATTATAATGTCATCTTCAAAGTAAACTTGCAAACATGTTTGCTTCTATTGATAAGGGTAATATCGAAGCTAGATCCACAATAATTACAAAGCTCTGTTCTGATAGTGTTGCTTGTTTTGGGTCAAGTAGAGCCAACTTGGGTAAAACCAATTCAGTTCAAGAGTAGGCAAAGTAAGATACGAGCTCCTCTGTACACGAAAAAACACATCTTTTACAGAGATTTTCTTTCAGTTCAGCATTGATAAACAAACCTCCTCATAGACCATGACCTAAAATCATCCGAGGGTCAACTAGTTGCAGATAGGTGGATGCTGGGCACTTCCCCTAGTTAGCATATGTTATTAAGCGCTAGGTCATATTTACTGAACTGAACAAATAGTTTAAACCAACAGCAGATTACTAAAAGCAGTCATAGTAATGTATGTCACCCTACCATGAACAATCATTTGCTCATTTACTTATGTTCATGTGTATGTTTAAGTGTTGCAATCGCTTAGCTGAAACAATCAAACAAAGTTGGTGACTAGTAAACTAAATTATTAAAATCATCAACGATCTTTGTAATTTCCACCTCTAGAAGGAATGTGTCTACTTCATCCTTCAGGGGCAAGGCACACAACTTCAACTCCTACTCATACACACAGACGAGCTACAACCTGCTCACACACAGAGATAACTATCACACCCCTGTGCGCCGTGATCCCAGAAGGACAGGTTCATAGGAGTGTCCAAAACTTTAAAACCCTGACACTGCTTTATTGCCCAAGATAAAGCCATGGCTGCACACACACACAATTATTAAGATGACAATGAACCCACACTGTAAGAACTGCCCTTTTCTGAATCATAAAGGCAAAACACAGGGATGAGTCTGTCAAAGGGTAAATTGTATGTCATTCTCCATCTATTACTTAACTACTAGTTATTTGGCTCTGACCTGGTTTTACTTGCTCTTCCTTTGTACAACATGTATCCTTGAAAGTGGTAGGATAATAAGGTTCAGTGGTAAAGAGTAGATGATTTTTCCGGGTACAAGAACAAATGCAGTTTGACAGATTAGCTTGTGAGGGAAAACAAGATCACAAAACCAATACCCGTATTAAATTGTGTGAATCCACTAACAAAAACATGCATGGCATTGTATTGTTTTTAGCTTTCTCTGTTTTTGTTGTATTATGCCCTTTGTCTGGTTAAGATGCTTGTTTTACTCGTATGTGGGACCTGGGCCAACAGAGGTGAGACAAGGAACTCCATTCATTAGCTGTTACGGTGTTCTTATTGACCCGTTATATACAGTAAGAGCCAAACTGGCGAAGGTCAGCTCATCAAGGTATTCTAGAGAAAGATATACTTAAGCTGAATATTGTTCCATGTTGAGGAATTACAAATTCATACTTCAAAGTCATTTGATATAGTCCTGCAAACACAGATGCTGTGGTTTTACTAATTGTATTATGTTGGTATTCTAACAACATACAAAGGAACCTTGTTGCGGGCAAACCTTTCGTGCCATCTGATCTGTCTTTCCTGTGGGGGGGGTTTTCCTCGGTGTGACCAACTGCTGCTGACCTTTCCAGAGTTTGTTGTAGCATGGAGAGCTGACACATTTAGCCTTTTCTGTCAGTCTCCCTTTACTAGCTCCAGAACAGGGTCAAGGGCAGCTTTCCTCCTCCACTGGCCACCCTCCATCTTCTCATCCCTTCATCCCCATAAGAGCATCAAGGAGCCAGCAAGTAGAGCAATGAACTTTTCTGGGACAGGGTGCTTTGATGGAGCATATCATAGTGTGTGGTATTCAGCGTGAGAACGACAACATCAAAAGTTGGGCTGGTTGCCTAAGTTGGATTTGAAGATGATTGAAACGCAATGGGAAGCAAATAAACTGCATGTCATGAACGTTTTTAAATAAAGGGGCCCGGGGAAACAAATCTAATCATGATTTTCCAGATTTCAGGGGAAGAGCAGAGAAATAAATATGAGGGAATTACAAACTGATAAAAAAAGATACCTATAATAAGGGGGAAAAACACATCACTGCGTGTTAAACAGGAGCTCTGTAAGTGAACGAGGCCGGCACATACTGTAATAATATGGCACATATGGATGTCATATTTGTGTCATAGCTGAGAGCGCAGAGCTATTAATTAGAGATGTGTACCCAGGGGCCCCCCTGGCCAACACTCAACAGGAAGTGATGTCAACTGGGTCACCAGTAATCTATTCTACACAACTACTGACTGGTTAATACAGTTAATTAGCTGAAAATGAGAATAATAGAAAGAGGTAGTAACAGGTAAAGGTTCCCTGTTCTCTATAGAATAACGTGAGTGACTTTGCTGCTCAATCTGTTCATATAATAAATTATAATGAGTATCAGGTTAAAATAAGTCTGCTCAGGCAGTGCAGTGGTAATGTAATTTGATATAACATACTGGAAGAAGCCTCATGTGTGTCTTAAGAACAGAGAGACAAGGCCACTGCCACCTGTCCTTTTTGCTGCTGTCCTATGGTTGCGCTGGGACGTCCCACCTGGCCCACTGCAGGGAGGGTCTTCATTCCTGGCATGTCACATGAGACGCGAGAGCACAGGTGGCCCTTCACGCTGAAAACCCATTCAGGGAGACAGTACATGTGTTACAGTCTCACTAGGACGCGCTGTGCTACAAAAACAGACATCCACGCAGCCGCACAGAGACTCACATGGTCATCAAATAATGGTGATGGTTTTGCAAAATGTTGCATATAGCTTCCCTGTCCTGTTAGCTTTACAAATGCCATAAAAGCTGAAAATGCCATGTATAGTTGCCATGTGAGTAGCATACATGTACAGTATGGTGCTAACTGTACAGGATATAGCCCAGGGGGGCTCCTAACTGGCATGTTGATAGCACTGCCAGCATGCTGGCAACAAAAGCCAAAGGCCTGTGGCCTGTGGGTGTTAAAATGTAAGCTAGGTCAATTTTTCAGCCTGGCACTCTAGCAATCCCTTCTTTCTCTCAGCACAGGACGTGGTACTAATTGTACCCATGAAACCAGACCATGTGTAGCAAATACGCACACGCAAACAAAGTTCCATAACAAGCACTAATGGCTTGTTGGACATAGCGATGGCCCGCTTCTGCCTTCCATTCCCACTCCTTCACACACGACTTTAAAAGCAGCGAACAAAACCAGTTTGTTATTGTTCATCCATATTTTATCACAGCTCCTATTTATAACTACATGGGTTTGAGTCAGGGGCAAAGTGGGATGCAGAGTATCAGAAGAGAGCCTATGATATGCTTTTTTTATCTGTGATTTTGTCAAGCTCATAAACTCCAGAAGATATATCAACGTAATTACAAGCAAACAGCGGTTACAGGAGAGAGAGACCACAAATGGGTAGGAATGAAAAGATATACTGTTCATCCCTTAATTCCCTCAAACACATCTTTGAATGTGTGCATGTTTACCAAACCTGCTTTAATCCAGGAACAATTTGATGAGTAGGCACAATCTTCTGCCTCACACAGTTATAGCTGCATGCATTCAGGGGTGTTGCGTAGTAAAACCTCTTTCTTCTGCTGTCAGTCTCTAACAAGGACAATTAGGGAACCCATGCCTTGCTCAATAACATTACTATAGCATTGACTCACACGTTCAACATCGATTGTTCTTGCCATTTAAAGACTTCAACTGAAAACCTTTAATAACACAAGTTCACTAATAGCATTGAGGGCAGCCAGCATGTGTGTTTGTAAGTAGCAGGTCATAGCATGTGTATATCTTTTATAGTTTAGTTGTTGTAGGATGGTAACCAATGACAATGTAAGAAAGTCAAAAAGAGTACGATTGACTTAGAAAATACAACTGCATTACTTACGTATAGACTAAGTGTAGACCCTTATTCAAAATGTGGATATCATTCCAATGCCACCAGATACACATTTACTACAAACCACTCAATTAGATTAGGGCCTCAAGGAACTTTATCCGAGGGATGTTTTGTAATAAAAGTTGATTTCATGCAAAAACTGCCAGCAGCCCAAACTGTCACCCTGATAACTTCCTCTCTCTGTTTGCTAATTGTTTGATGGATCAATAACTTAACTATTAACTATTTTAATAGAAACTGCCCTTAAGTGAGGACACCACTTTGACAACAGATGCTCACATTACTCTCATTGTCAAATGCAGAGATTTCCAAGTAAACTCACAGCAATGTGTTATCATCTTTAAAAGCCACATATTACCAAATGTGTCCCCAGAGCACATAAAAGCCATCTTAATGTGAATTTACAAATAAATGTTTTTTTGCAAAATGACCATCTTTAAAAAGAGTCTGGTACAGGCATATTTTGGATGTGCATCTGCATTAATAACAAGGATACACTGCAAGGTAGCCACACCTAAACTCTGTTTACCTGCCTTTATTATTTGCTGGACAACAGGCTTTCTATAGTAAGCTGAACAAGGCTGACCTTTCTAATCTAACTCGGTAGTGTAACTCTTTGTGAGTGAAATGTTACTTAACTGATTATATGGACAAAAGGCGTATAATAATGCTTCCTGAAAATATGTTATTTATGTTTAAAATGTACGAGTGCCCGTTTGGTTTTAGGTGATCTGGTGGAGGTCACTTCATTGTTATGTACTGTCTAGTAATCATACATCCTGGTCAATACAGTACACTATGATAGGGTGTAATGTTAGCCAGTTAGCATTGTGGCATCCCGAAACTGATTGATTGTAGTGCATGTGTGCTGTCACAAAGCGACACTAAAGGAGCTCCTGCCATACCCGCTCTGGCCTTTATTCGGATTTGCAAACGCAGGCTAAATGATAAACAAATTTACCCTGAGTTCGTCTCTCTCTGCCTCCCAGCGGTATTTCTCGGCCTGGAAGCGTCCCCACTCGTACTGGATGAAGTGTAGGATCCCAGGAAGCGACATGCCCGAGTCCCCGTCCTGTAGCTCCCTAGCCTGGGACGATCCGGGCATGGCCCCGGCTGCTGCCGCCGCCGCCGCTGCTGCCATCACCCCTGCCGCCGCAGCTGATGTCGCCGGGCCCGGTGCTGCTTTGGGCCCGTTTGGGTTGCGCCCCGCTCCGCTGCTACCTCCGGAGTTCGGGTTTGGTCCTCCGCCGGATCTATCCGCCTCCATTTTAACCGTTCAACCTTTCGCCAGGATAAGGAGGTGGAAACAGGCAGAGTGTACGAACAATAATAATAGAAAAGTACCTCGTACCCTTCTTCCAGCCCAGCAGCACTCCACTATAGTCGACCCTCTTTTCTTCCTTTTTGCACAAGCACAGAGCAAAATTACTATTCAGTTAGCAAAATACTACACTTCCGCTTTCAAAACATTCAAAATAAAACACGACAATGAAGATACATATTTGTAAAATTGTGGCCTGTTTAGTTACCGATTTGCCATATTTATCATACATTCCTATTTATAAGTGTATGCTAAAATGACTCAAACATATGGGTTTTAAATGCATACAACTTAAGACAAATGTTTAAATGTTGTTTGCGACTTTTACTCTGTAAATCCCGGATTTGTTTCCTCCTCCTTGTGTTTGCTTTTGGAAATACCCAATGCGGGTGACAAATAAAGGGCCATGTTTGCAGTAATACACACTGAACATGTCGATAGGGGAGTTCATTTCCTGCCATTTTGTGAGCAGGAATTTTGAGGACAGTGAAGTTGGCCAACATTATCCACAACTGTGTTTCCTGTTTGAAAACGTTGCATTAAAACATCTCCACAACACAATGAAGGCTTCTCAATACTCTAATTTCCCCTCCTCGACTCCTCCGCTCGCATCTCCTGTGGGCGGGACACAAAGATAGGAGCCGAGGAGGGGAGTCGACGAGGGGAAATTAGAGTATTGAGAAGCCTTCAATGAGCGGTCGACCGCTATTTTGTGTGCCATACAATCCCAACAGTTCTCAAAATAACAAAGAAAATCGTCAACATGCATCCTCTTAATATTATTTGCAGTATGTAGAAGTGCAAAGATTTCATAACATATTTCTAATGTATTGTTTATTTATATTTATTTTTACAAATGTTCACATACAGTTGCAGAAAGAGAGAGAGAGCGAGAGAGCAATGCAATGTTGAACATAATTGTTATTTGTTGTGTGAAAGTAACCTTTGGCCCAGCAAGAGTTTTGATAAGTATTCGCATTACATTTTTGTGGGAATACGTTTTCGAAGATGCCCCTTTTATTTTGAAGAATTGAAGGCGGAAGTGTTTCTGTTGTTGCTGCGGACATTGGGCATTCGGCAAGCGTGATTCGTGCAGATGGGTTTCATGGTTGTGTTTGGGTCAGGCTACATAGTATGGCATTTTCGCATGCGATTTGCGTGCAGTTAGCTGTCGATTTCTTGATAAGATGTTAGAGACTCTATTTCAACCACAACTGCACAAATACTAGCTAAAAAATGAATATGTATTGTTGTGTTGTCTGCCACCGATTAAGCCTGGTTTGCTCCTCTGCTACCAGAGCATGCTAAAATGGACCATCATGAATACCAAATATAGTACAACAAAGTTAATAGGCTTAACGTTGTCAATGCTTCTGATAACATTGCTAATGCATGATGGGATGGACTGCAGTTTATTTACAAGATACATTATGCATCCAAATGAAGGTAAGTTGTAATTGTACCATCCTGTTTTTAAAGATTGTTAATGCTGCTTGTTTATATATGAAAGTTAACCTTGCATGAAGCTATGGCTGCCCTACTTTTACATTTAAAATAACAGATTATTGCTAGCATAATTTAGTGCACTGCTGTCTTTTTCAAATTAAAGCAGTCCTCTGTTTCAATTTTAAATGAGCATAAGGTGTACCATACAGTCAAGGCATCTTCTTACATTCCCTTACCCAGGGATTATGAAAAAAACAGAATTACTACATTTGTATATATTTGCTGTCTTTCACAGGTTGTCTTCAACGGTATCCCTTTACTGTTACACTAATGGGGACTTAAGACCCACCACTGGACTAATCTATACTTCTCCTGAGAGGAACTGGAAAGTAAAATCAGTTGCCATGCGTGTCAGTCTGTGCCAGGGCCTGTTATCTGGCGCCATCCTCCTCAACCTCCTCATCCTCTACTTCGTGTCCCGGGCCCAGCAGCAAATGATGGAGAAGAGGAAGGAGCTTGGCAGGGGCACGAGAAGGTCAGCCCTACCGGCCTCAGGTCTGGGGGGAGGCCTAGGGGTTCTTGTAGGAGTTGGAGGTGACCTTGGAGTGGGCGGAGGTGAGGGTCACAGTCGTGGCCAACGCGTGACTGTTCTTCTTCGGGAGTTTGAAAACTTTGAGAATTACGTTGGGGATGTGGCTAACTCCTTCCTCCGCCAGAGACCCGAGCTTCCCTTCTTGGCTGTAGCTGACATGTCTCCGTACCCCCCCCTGCTGCTCCCAGAGGGGGCGCGCCTTCTAGTGCTCTCGCCCAGCCCGGACCAGCCACCGCAAGCTCACAGGCCTGAGTTTCACGTCCAGACAGAGTTTGTGCTGCTGGTGCCTGATGGAGTAGAGTTGGAACAACCTCGGGCTATTGAAAGGCTCATCAGGGAGCTGGAAGGTGAGGGTGGGGGGCCTGTGAGGCTGGTGGCTTCCCCTGTGCTGGCTCGATCGGCTGTGCAGTGTCTCCACCTGCGGGTGAACCTCAGAGAGTGGACAGCCACCTACTCGCCGGCTGCGTCTGGGAGCAGTGGGAGTGTGTGTACGGCTCTACAAGGAGATGCAGTTGTCCTCATTCGCACTGAGGATCTATTTAACCTCTCTGTCCCTCTGGGGCGGCCCCTTTTCTCCTCGCTCTTTGTCCAGACTGCCTTGAGAGGCTGGAAGGTCAAGCTGCTGGAGAGCCCCTGTTTCGCCGCAAACCACCGGCCCCTCTTCAGCTCCGCTCACAACCAATGGAAGGCCGACACGAGATTAAAGGAGACGACCGGGAAGCTCATGAGGAGTTTTGGTCTAAAGCGACTCCTGCTGTCCGATGGGAAGGAACAGTGGTATGGCTGTAGTAAAGAGACGCCTCGCTGCTTTGGCACTGTACAGGACGACACTCCAGACTACCTTTATCTGGATCGATGGACACCTCCCTGCTGCCTGCGGGCTCTCAGGGAAACCACCAAATATGTTATCAACATCCTGGAGACCTCAGGCGTACGCTACTGGCTGGAAGGGGGGTCTCTTCTGGGCGCTGTCCGTCATCAGGACATCATCCCATGGGATTATGATGTGGACCTGGGCATCTACCTGGAGGATATTCCCAACTGTGATCACTTGAAGAACCTCGACTCAGGCTCTCTTGTGGATGCTAACGGCTATGTGTGGGAGCGTGCAGTGGAAGGAGACTTCTACAGGGTCCAGTACAGCGAGGCCAACCACCTGCATGTTGACCTGTGGCCGTTCTATCCGCGTAATGGCGTCATGACAAAAGACACATGGACAGAACACAAGCAGGATGTGGAGTTCCCGGAGCACTTTCTGCAGCCGCTGGTGCCCATGTCCTTTGCCGGCATCACCGCCTACGGCCCCAACAACCACCGAGCCTTCTTGGAGCTCAAGTTTGGAGAGGGCGTTATTGAGAACCCCCAGTATCCCAACCCCACAAAAAAGAGGCTGGACAGAAGCAAATTATGAGAGATAGAGACTCCAAAGCCTGTTTATGTTGTATTATATTTGTTTACTTAAAAACACTGAAAATGTTGCCTCAATTTATTTTATTGAAAGAAAAAATATGATGCCTGAAAACTAATACGGTACCAAAAAAACTGTATTTGCTTTCTATTTTACAACAGTTATATCACCACTATTATCTACTGCCTGGTCAAGATTTCTTCATCATCAGTATTTGGATGTATAATCAAAAATGTTTTCTGCCTTTCTAAGTTCAATGCAATAGTGCAAATTCAAAATGGTCGAAGACTGGTTTTACTACATGGTGCACTAAATCTGTACTGTAAAGTACACATATGACTGCTGTAAAGATGATACATACTACAAATGTATTGTCTTGTTAATAGGTGCAAAGTACTTTATCTTAAACAGTATTTAAGATTATGTACAGAATAATTTATGCACTTGTACTTTCAATTTTGCACAGTTTGTGAATAAATGTTAATGTGTATTTATGCCATTTGGCCAATACATCACCATGTTGTGAAATGAGAAACAAATCATCCTTAACCCTGTTATTGTTGGCAATAGGGGAGGTTTATATGGCCTTAGTATTCAGTAAAAAACATTGACTGGAATTTCCTCGATTAATAACCCTTAGCTCAGTTATGTGTGACTACTGAGCGCCCATTATTTATTTACTGAAATTGAATTCCAATTAAAGAGATTAATCAAAGCAAATATTTTAATTGTGAAGTTGGACATACAGACTTACCAACTTCTCTGGGTACAACATGTTTCCTATAATGTTGTTGCTTGTGTGTGATGTATTAAGATGTAACCCCAATTGATGAACTAGTCAAATAAATGAATGTTTTATTAATTTGTTTTGAGGGTTGATGGCAAATACACACAGTATAAAGGAGGGTTGCAATTCTTTTTGAACACCAGGTGGCACAACACACTTGAGTATTATCTGGCCTTTACAACTCCTAAGCTTCTGCACTAAGTTGTGTTAACCATACTGTTAACAGCATTATGGGAGTTCTTCAGCCATATGGCATGAGCCCAGGGGGTGGGGGGTTATAACAGGACACACAGGAATGCAACTCGCTTGTACGTCAGACTGTCCCAATGGTGGTGTATTTGCGTTACTTACTTAATGTAGGATAACCAAAATTGTTCATAAATGGCTGTGGGGTTATTTTTGGATTAAAATAAATAGGAATCTCAGTACATATTAAATCAGTTTTCCCTCTTGCATGCTGCCATAGTATATAATCTGGAAATGACTGACTCGAACTAGAGTTTTCATGAGGCAACAAATATATTTTTCTTTGCAGATTGTAGTGCATGCAATTAAAACACACACCCCTCTCTCACGATGTTAATGAAAGTGACAACACTCTTCAACCAAGTCTCGTAAAAATAGGGCCAGTATTCCTTCCTGTAATCTTGCTGGCAAACAAATCAAAACTATAACCTACTTGACGGAGTTACCAAAACAATGGCCAGGAGACCAAATAATAAATTAAAAAAAAGGCCTTTATTGTTTACATCCTTCAGACAGTAAATTCAGACTGTAACCTGGGAAGATTTGAAACACTAATAAATGTACAACTACCATGTGCACACGCACAACACAGATAATATGCGCGGACCAGACAGATGTCCATATAGTGAAAGATCTCAGAAGGGAATGATAAAATCTTTACAACCTTCCACCAAATGCTTAACATATTATACATTTGACTGTAGAAATGATGAGGCCGCAGGACTGCAGTGATTTCCTTTTTTTGACCATCATGGGATATACTGCAAAACTAGAACAGTATAAAAGCTGATAAAGAATACAGACTTGATGAATTTGTATTGAACATTAGTCAAATATATCCCAGTAATTTGGTTGCTTTTAACAGTTAATGATATGGATGGAAGTAATACACATTCAATAGTGCAACTGCAGTTAATCATACATACATGGCATATGGTGCACACATTGAATGCATGTCACATTTGAAAATAGACGTGTAGCTATAGGGTGCCACCAATACAATTCATACCATCACTTCTTTTTTACAGTCTCACAAGTCTACCACTGCTAATATGAAAAAGAATATTCCAAAAGGATCAGCTTTTACAAAGAGTCTACAATCTAACCCACAACATGTAACTGCATTTTGGAGTAACTAACATGTCAAAACATACGCTAAAAAAATCTCTTTGGATTTTGATTAGGGAAATAAATAGAAATTAAACAAATTATCAGAGGCATTAACGATGACATACATGTAGGCCTGAAGCCCATATATAATTAGTATTTCATGATTATGTCCATCAAAGGCAAACTTAAACAGGTTTATGTGGAGACATGCTTAACTTTGACTTAAATCCTTTCAGTTTTCAGGCCCCAACAATCAAAACAAACTAGCAGTCCATTGCTGCTATTTGATCAATATAGCAAAATCCTTGTAGTGGAAGGACTTGTTAGTGACTTACACATCACATTAAGTCACGCTTTACACAATGTCAAACAAATGTCCTTATAACAGTCTGTGCTTTAACATGCATCTGTGCATTGGTTATATGATGGTACCTACACAGAGCAACAGCAAGTAAAATTGAACATGTAGGCTTTGGTTAAAAAATAAAAATCTCCTTGGAAATGACATTCAAAGTTAACGGGTGTTGAACGTTTTCCTTGTTTGGGTGATTTTTGGTCTCAGAATATTAAAAGTACAGTCTTCAAGCCATAGTTAAACCTGAGGTTGTGTTGCCAGCCTTCACACCACCGTCCATCAGAAGAGGCAGAAAGGCTTGGAGGTCAATCTGTTTCCATATATATTGACGTAGTTTTAAGCCCTTGAGTTAAAAGTTCCTTCATTAAGCATAGGGGTATTGAAATAGCATCAAGCATGTCCTTTTGTGCGGCTGAAGAGGATATTATTTCCTTTGTGTGCTATTGCTTTTTACCATGAGAGAGTCTTCGTACAGACACAAATAAAATAAAACGTCTAGAACAACTAATGTAGTGTCTTTTCTCTTGAGGACAGTCTCGGCCATTTCAATGCAGGGTATATGGAATATAACTTAGTTAAACTAGTGTTTCATATGCTTTAAATATGACACATTTAAACACAAGACATGAAGTTTAAATACATGACATGATATCTGCATTAAAAAGGGGCTTTAAGGATTTAAAATAAAATACACAAAGTAAAAAAGAAGATTGTGACTAACAAAAATCATTTAAAAAAAGGTACTGGATTCCAGATGGAGAATACGAAAACCTTTTCTTGAGAAAAACCAACGGCAAGCAGTTATGTGGTCCCTGTCAACTTTTAAAGTCAGACATTTTTGTGTTTTCCCCCACAAAGTCAACAAGCTGCCCTAATGGTCAACACCAGTAGTGTGCAAAATGGTGAAAATGTAACATTTAATTTTTAAATAAAATTAGATGGTTGAGGGTCACTAGAACAACCCCTTGACATAGTGGAGGTACACAGTGATTTGGTGAACACCTGTTGTTTACAACTTGGCCAAATGTAAAATGTCTGACATAAAAAATTGAAGAGGACCGACCATATGCAACATTAGTAGCCAGCCTAATGTACAATTCTGCCTCTAAACAAGGAAACAAAAGTCCCTGTGAATATGATGGATTTGTAATGTCCGCCGTAACTCTTTTGCACTAAATAGTGTAGAGGTAAGACAAAGTTTCATTTCATCATAGTCCATCCTCTCTTTTCTACAGGGCATAAAAAAGGGGTTAAGAACCTCAGGTTTTGCAGGAGTGTCAAATAAGTGAGTGTATCATTGATGGTATCAGCAGCTGGATTACATGGCCGACTCTCTTTCACCAGACGGAGACTTCTTCTCTTCACTGTCCCTCCCACCTCGCCTCTCAATGAGCGGCGAGTTCTCCGGGGCCGAAGCGGATTGGTCCCCCTCCAGCCTGACCTCGCTCAGCTCTGCTCCCTCCTGTCGTTGGGCCGTGCGGTCCACAAAGTGCTGCAGGATCCCAGCGCCGAAGGCATCGCCCTCTACATTAATCACTGTGCAGGTACGGTCACTGAAGAGACACAGAAGGGAGGGCAAACCACATTTATATACAGTGTTTATGCAGGTTTCAAAAGGTTACATTTTGGACTTTTAAGACCAAATTGAATTAAAATGAATACCCATCTGTGTTTTGTGATCATACCGTGTATGTACAAAGAAATAACAGTAACTTAGAAAAAAGAAACGTCCTAGACTTGAATGCATAGAAGAACATTGATGTAATCCCACTATACAATATTAACAAAAACTCAAAGCATGACGGTCACCATGGAGATAGACTCATGGATGTGCCGCAGTAAATACTGCAATGTGGAACATTTTTTATTGTGATCCAGTTCTCGGCTGTGCAAAACATAAATAAATTCAGACGCCCCTTTTAAATGTTTCCAGTCAACACATCAGTATAACATTATCAAGACCTATCAAATCATTTTCTTTTAAAGAGGCCAACATTTCAGAACATTTAATAAAAGACATATTAAGGAAAGCGCTCTGTAAATAACTGTAAGGTATGTCATAACTGTTGCTTGGTTGTTGTGTTCTGTGTTTTTCCTAAAATCCCAAAAGTTGTGTACTTACACAAGCCAGTCAACAGCCAGGATGAGAGAGATTTCTTTGGTGGGCAGTCCTACGGCCTCCAGGATGATGGCGAGGGTCAACACACCACCAGCAGGTATACCCGCTGCTCCAACACTGGATGCTGTGGCTGTCACACTAACAAATCAAGAGGGAACATGATCACAGTTAGACACAGATTCACTTCCATACAGCATTGTCACACACATTTTATTCTATTCAGACTACATTTGCAATTGAAGAGTTGCATATAAAATGTATTCAGCAGTGTAACTCCAGTTGTGTTTCAGTGGCTTTGGGACTTACAGGATGGTGATGACTTGGATAAAGTTAAGTGAATAGTTGTTCAGCTGAGCGATGAAAACAGCAGCCACACACTGGAAGAGAGCCGCTCCGTCCATGTTGACGGTTGCTCCGATGGGCAGGATGAAACGGCTGATGTGCTTGGATACGCCGTTATTTTCCTCCACACACTTCATCATCAGGGGCAGAGTGGCAGAGCTAGGAAACAAGGAATGTGTGAGCGTATCGAGGCGAAAAGGTATTTCCATGTGTGTTTGTAGAGAGAGGAAAGTGTGTGTTTAAGAACAGAATATCCTTAGTATTAACAACCAGAGGGAACAAATAAGTGTGTGTGTTTGCATACGGGAGTGACAGAAGAGAGCAGCGTGCAGTTTATTACCTGGAGCTCGTTCCGAAGGCCGTTGCCAGAGCTGTGAATATCCCCCAGAGGAAGGTGTATGGGTTCTTCCTTGTAATGATGAAGTAAATGAGAGGCAGCACGAGGAGGCCATGGATGGCATGTCCAATCATACAGCAGGCTATATATTTGCCCAGACTGGCAAATAGTAAGGCAACATTCTCCATCTCAACGATCTTGCCAGCCACGAGAAACATGATACCAAGAGGGGCATACCTGTAGAGAGACAGTGAGGTGAGTGCAGGAAAGACAAAGAAATGGACAGATCATTAAATAATTATGGTTCTGGAACTTACACAGAGAACAAGCCTCTCGCATTTACGCAAGTTTCTTACCACATGATCCAGGAGACCAGCACCATGGTGGCTTCATTGAACGAGTTGAAGAACTTGATCAGGATTTCTCCTTCCTCTCCCAGTTTTCTCAAAGCCACACCAAAAACAATGGCAAACACAACCAGACCAAGAATATTCATCCCGTCCTGGTCTGTACCAATAGGCACCTGGAGACATGCACAGAAGAAAAATGTCAGGACACAGATCCACACCAGACACAAAAACATGTTGGATTATGATGTGTTGGGTATTTCTGGTTAATGTTATGGCCCTTTACCTTTTCCACTGTGATATTGAGGTTTCCATCAGTACCATTCCTGGTAATCAGCTTGTAGCTTGTTGCATACTGGATGGGAAAGAAAGTTTTGACCATTATTTACTTTAGTAACTTGAGTCAGTTAAATAAATAATCTAAAAATATCCTTTGAACAATTTCAAATGATCAGTTTTGTAAAGTTCTAGAACAGATTACAGTACTTACTGATTGAAAGGCAGCAGAAACCAGGTTGGATGGAAATATGTTTCTGTGGAGAGAGAAAAACAAAACACTTTAACGATAATTCCTCAGTGTGTATACCAGATGTCTCAGGAGAAATCCAATGAAAACAATGTAGCTGTAATTGGAGGAAGATAAATTACATGTTTAAAAAATGAAGAGCAGAAAACAATACAAAGCGTGAGTCTTGTTTTCATTTGCATACACACAACAGCAAAAAATAACCCTGAGCACTTATGTGAATCGAGACACAAGGCAAACACATTGTAAAGCTATAGAGTGGTCTTTGTTGAGTTTATAGCTGTTCCTGGTGAATTATTAAATGTTTTCACAGCACATTAATAATTTAAATCAACTACAAAAAGATAGTCCATTCTTTCTGTTGTAGAGACAGCAGCAAAAGTTACCACTGATACTTCAAGCAAATGGAATCACAAGATGGATCATGTGGAAATAGCTGGGAGAATTTACCTATTAAGCCCCTTTTCCCCCTTTGCCCCCACTTCTAATTGCCGTTTGGCTATTCAATCTCTGCTAAGAAGTGTACACACACATACATTGGTACATTGGTCGAACTGTATGTTAAATCTCTAAGAACGCATGAAACCAACGTGTCCCAGATAGTCCTATATGTATTGGATTTAGAATATAATCAAGGCATTAACTTCACAAGCCCTTTCCAACCATTAATTCCCTTGCATTGGAACCATAATGCATTAGAATTAAAACATCATGTGATTGTGGCATGGCAACATGAAACACCCTGCAACGGGAACACAGGCTGAGGCAAGATGTGCTGCAAATAGCCATGGCTGCCAGGCTTTCAAGCAATTAGCAAACTTTATTTGGATATTCAAGTGGTTGTGTATTATAGTTTTTTTACAACTGATTTGTATGACTAGCAAAGGGACATCATCGCAATATCTGTATGTTTAGTATCATTAGAAGCGCTGCCACGGTTCTCTAAATCATCAGTTAAGACTTTTGATAAAAAAAATTGAAAATACTTTGCAGATCCTGCTTTTGAATACAATGATCAAAATGAAGAGCCAAACGATTTTTGATTTACAAACAATACACTGACATCCCTAATCATTAGGCCTAATGGATGTTATAACAACTTCAGAGGATAAAACAATACTGTTTGCTAAGGAATTGATTCTGCAGAGATTTAACCAGAATGGATCCACTTTCTTGTTCTTTGTTGTGGCAAATTCACTCCTGTTGCAGGTACAAAACCCTTCCAATAAAATGCAGGTTCATTAGAATATATCACCCCCCCATCTCAGTATCTCCGCCCACTGCTTTTGAACTACCCTTAGGGCTTAAAGAGACAGGCGCTGTATGCAAATAACCATGTCTATTTCACAACCAGAGATGACAATAATCAGTGGTATGACAACAATCCACACAAGTTCAAATGACATTAGGTGGGTGTGTTTATTGTGTGTCAGGCCTCTGTTTGTTTTAGGAAAATTGTTGTGACGTCTTTCCAGCATCTTGTTACAAGTCGACGTGGAATTGTTAATGTTTAGGTTCTTACAAAACAACAATTATTTTAGGTTCTTGATAGGCCAGATGACAGACTAGCTCCTACTCTTTACACATTGAGCCACATTAGACAGGACACAAAGTAATATAATCAAAGCATGAATATAATGAAATGGGAAAGTTTAGGAAGTGAATCGCCTGTCTGGAATTGTTTTAATTGTAATATATAAAGAAGTCTCTAAGTAAATGTGCTTGTTTAAAAAGAGAACACTTCCGCCTTAATAATAATAATAATTCCTTACATTTATTATAGCGCTTTTCCAG